ACAGGGTGCCCTTTTTATTCTAACCTCTCTACTGAAGGACCTAGGCGTCTTTCGCGCGTCAAAACGCGGGTGCTCGCAAAAACAGCATCGCCGCCCTCGGGGCCAAATCGGTCGCATAGGCAGAAGGAGCCGGCGCTAGCGCGGAGGCGGGTTGCGCGTTGCGCCTCTGGCGAGTTCATCTGATCTGGAGATGAGATGGATATCGCAAAACAAGGTGGATACCCATTTAAAAAATTGGGTCCACGACCCCTTCATTTTGGGTAATGAGTCATAGAGACTCCAGGTATGTCTTTTTGCTGGTATTCCTTTGCGGCCAACGGGACAATGGCAGTTGACCCCCTAAGAGATGTATGAGAGGCGTACCCACATGGGAGCCTTGGTGGGCGCAAGACCATTTTTAAGATTTTTTTGGCCAGCGCGCGTTGCGCGGGGACATCGTTTGCTTTGGGGCGCGGGGCGCTTAATTGGAAATAAGCAGCCAGAGAGTCCCTGAAAGGAAGCCAACTTGACCACCTTGAACATCACGACGCCTTGTGATGCGAATGACAGTCGCAGCTCGTGGCAAAGTTGAGGTTGCATCTCGGCCATGCTTCCCTTTACTCTGGCGTGCAGCAAGAGTGTTGCCATTCAACGCGGGAAGGCATCGAGGTCGAAGGAGTTGGGGTTGGGGTCCTTTCATTTTTCGACTACTGGAGACTGACCATGTAAGCAAGGGTCGAGTTTACATTTTGGCTGGAATCCAAAAGTTGGCTCCGACTTGGCATGGACAGTCCCAGTTTTGAAGACCCTGGGTAATTGGAGCTTAGGGTGTCTTCGGTCTTGGGTCATGCCGATACAATGGTAAGTGTCATACATGAAATTGGTTCCCAGATGTTGGCATCGTCCGCGCAATGCCCGGCGCAAGGCCTGCCATGTCGATTCAGACCGAAAACAGCGGCCCTGGTAGAAATTCACCGAGGGCCTGTCGGAAGAAAAGCCGTTCGCAACACTTTCACAAGACGAAAACCGATTCTTTCCACTCTAACACCAGAGAATCATTCAAGCGCGTGTCGGTCGTTTTTTTGGGGGGGCGTTCCAGAAGTGGATTCGGTCTTCGTTTTCGTGGTTTTCCTTGACTTCTCACGGCCCAAGCTGCACTCTTCTTTCGAGATGGACAGTGGACGTTTGTCTCACACGAGTCCATACGGCCCAAACCACCCGGCAATGTGCCCCTGCCCCACTGCCTATTTTTGATTGACCGTTGCTTGGCACAGGCGCTTCGTGCGCTTGACGCTTTGCTGAAAGGCAGGCGGCATGCACGCGCACGAAGCATCACACAGCCTGCGTGATCTTGCGGGCAGTCGATACGCTCAATGAACACGCCTGGGGTACAGTGAAGATACGATCAAAAGTCAAGCCAACAGAATAATGTGTGCTTATAGTATTGCAGCCATGACAAAAGGAGGGCTATTTTTTTAAGGCTTTTTCGTTTTTTGAAGGATTTTTTGCTTTTCGGGGTGGGTGGCTTTTCGGCTTGGCTTTTTCGTTGGTTTTTGTGGCTTTTGTGGCTTTTCATTTCGCATCCTCTGCATTCACAGTTCCTCTCTTTTTGTCTTTTCGCATCCTCTGCATTGCCAGTTCCGCTGCGGCAGGTGGCTTTTTGTCTTTGTGGCTTTTGGCGGCTTTCTGGCTTTGGCTTTTCGCATCCTCTGCTTTCCCAGTTGGTTTTTGGCCTTGGCTTCCTGCATCCTCAGCATCGCAAGTTCCTCTCTAGTGCCCCCCGCCACCCCCCTTTCGATTAAAATGCACGCCTAATTAAATCATCACTTTTTAGATCATCATGCGACAGCTACTTTTTAGATTCTTTGCCCCTAATTGTTGGATCATTACGGGGACCTGCCGCCCCCCCTCACCCCCCCTTTTCTCGGCTTCTTTTTTTTCTAAATATATATATATATATATATATATTTGTTTTGGCCCTAATGGAATCATCACTTTTTCGATCATGGGGGGGCTGCCGCACCCCCCCCCCCCCCAACCCCCCCGCTACGTTTAATTTGGTGTTTTACAGATTAGTTTGCCCGTATTTGAATCCTCACTTTCACCATGAGGGGGATCCCTCTTTTTAACATGCATACATAAATGCCTACCTACCTTGCCGCAGAGGAACTGATGATGCTGAAGATGCAGGAAGCCAAGGCCCTCGATTTGCTGGTGATGCTGGGGATGCTGGCTGGACATGCGGGGGATGTTGAAAACGATGCTGATGATGTTGATGGACTAGCGTACAATGCGTACATTTTGCGAGAAATGCTGCAAAAATAATTGCAGCATTTTAGTAGCCAGGACGGAAACAAAAAATCCCAAACTAAAACAAAAAACCTTCCAAAATTACATCTCGAGCCAAATTGCAGAGTGCTGGCGTGCTGTAGGAATTGAAGTGTGTTTCACAACCTCTTGAGTCAGCTGGCTCTGAATCTCTGAATCTCAACTGCCTTTGTAACATGTGTTGCAGCCCAGAAGCTAAACACCTGCATAGAGATTGATGCCACTTGAATTTCAACTCACGCTGATGCTATGTGAAAGTGTAAGTCAACATACACCGATGAAATCGAATTATATTGCAATTATTTGTCATTCATACATTGTATAAAGCGAACACTTCATTTACATGTTTACTCATTATGAAGATCTATACTAAATGTGAATAGATGTTGTTTATGTTTAGGTGTGTATTTGTATAGTCTGAATGATTTAATATTAGGGACATGCTCAGTCTATAATATTCTGATATACTCCGTATATATAAGCTATGATATAAACCCTATTTACAAACATGATATAGGGTTGTTCGAAGGCATAAGATATAGCCGCGAAAAGCGCAATTCTGCTGTTTTCGTGCTCGATGCCCGAGAATAGTGGCGAAGGGGCCAGGAAGAACAGCCATCCAGGGTCTGTGAAAGCCCATCCTGAAGCAGCAAGTTCAGGTGAGCTGGCTGCAAGCTAATTTAGTAGGGAGAGGGTCAAGCTTGAATAATGTCCAGGCAAGTTTGTAGGGAATAAAAACCAACGCTCAGGTGTTCTTCGTGTTGCCATACCTGACATGTGGCGCATGCTTCGTTCCTTGGATCGACACAATCCCAGGCTTCAAACAAAAGCTGTGAGTGGATTGGGCCCAGCACCATGCACCGAGCATTTGCAGAGCTGAGAGGCAGAAGTTGGCCGAAACCTTTTGCCTAGAGCGACAGAGATTGCTTGACCCCATGCAGCTGTTCAATGGTCCTTTAACTTTCTGTGCCCTGAGAACCTGACAGGTAGATGCCCAGCTGGGAAGGCTTGGAGGGAGAAAAGATCCTGATTGGCAAGCCAACACCCACTTAGGATTTTCAGGAGCACAGTGGTCGGGCCTGGCCCCGCCGCGAAGGTAGCACACCTCGAGATCTGGAAGGACTGCCTGAATGTGTTGGAAGTTGCTTCAGGTACCGAATCTGCCGTTCTTTCTCAGGTTCAGCGGAGCCAAGAGAGGCTCGTGGGAATTTAGTGAGTAAGAGTTTTGGGCTTTAGACATTGCAGGCCGATAATATCCGATACCGGAAGTTGTTCTTTTCCGCGAAAGCCTTGCGAAGGGTTCCTCCGGCAAAATCGCCAGCCAACTTCCACCAGCGCACTTGCCTGAGCGCACTTGCAGCAAGTGAGCGCGAGAGATTGAAGTGCTCTTTTAGTTTTAAGGCGGCGCGGCGAGGAATTTTGCTACTTTCCGCAGTTCGTGCGACAGCCTGGTCGACACGGAGAAACTGAAGAGTTTCCCGACATTCTGCAGTTCGTGCGCGACGCTTTGCAGGGGTCAGCGTGGCCGATGTGCAAAAGCTGGGGGCTGTTTGCCACTTTCCGCGGTTCGCGCGCTGGTCGATGTGAAAAAAAACTGGGGGGTTGTGCTACTTGCTGAGATACCCGCGCGACCCTTTGCAGGATCGGCGCCGTCCATGTGCAAAAAACTGAAGACGTTTAAATAGTCTTGTTTATGACTTGCGCAGAGCAACTTGCACCGAGCACTTGCGCAGAACAACTTTCAAAGACACTTCCGCAAAGCACTTGCGCGAAGCAACTTGCGCACTTGCACGGGCAAACTCGCACGAGCACACTTGCGCGAGCAGACTCGGTCAAGCACACTTGTGCAAGAAAATGCGCACGAAAAATCAGATTAAGATTTGCTGTGCAGCGCCCGTGGTGAACTTCCACACCGCGCACGAAAGCAAGACCGCGCTTGACATTTCACATCATACGCCACGCAACGCTTTTGGGCCACCCGTTCTTCTAGTTGTTGCTCCTGCAAGCTGACAAACGGAACAGCACACGCTCATATACTTGTGGTCCAGGGAGCTATAGAACTCTCTGAATTTAGTCGACGAGCAAGCGAAGGTGGGCCAGCATAACACAACATGAACCGAGGCTGTTGTGCAATTGCTCTCCTGGCTCAAGAGTACATTTGTCGGATTGCGCTCCTGGGTCCAGTTGCGCTGCCTCTTCTGCGTGGGCGCCAAGTGCGAAGTGGAGGATGTGCCTGTGTGTGTGCGTTGCAATGTCCAGTAGCGCAGCTTTTTCTGCGACTAGATCAAAGCACAATGGTCCCAGTTTTTGCTCCATTGGCTTCTGAAGACTGTTTCATTCTATCTTGTCAGTTTGCCCTTGACGCTGCACCTCATTTTCGTTCGAGAATGTTTGAGCACTCAGGAACATCAGGAGCCGCGTGCCGCAGTGAACGGAAGATGAGAGGCAAAGCGCACTGGCCTCAAGACATCGCAGCTGAATCATGCCGAATCCTTGCACCTCGCAATTGTGGCGAAGCCGTTTTTCACTGCTGAGTGTGGTGAGCACTTAGAAATCAGACGCAGTCGATCCGATGATTCGCAAGGTTCGGGACATTGGCAGACAACTCGTGCAGGGGCCTCAGCAGTTTCAGCAACTTCATGTGTCGGCTTAAGACAAACAGGTTGCCGCAAAGACGTAACCCGCCACTGGACATGGCATCCGATGGAGAGTGGGTTGCAGGGAAGCAGGTGGAGAGCCCCCTGGAGGTCTATGATCAGATCGCGAGCAATTCCTTGAAGGCTGCCTCAGTACAAGTAAACGAGAAGACTTTGTTCTACTGCTTGCAGCCCAAGGAAGCTTTGCCGAAGGAAGCAGCTCGGCTTTGTTCCGCCAACCTCAGCATGAGGTGCAACACATGCATCAAGCGCATCCCGGTCTTCGCACAGCTCCTGGGCGCTGAGGGGAAGCATGTCTACCTCAAGGAGGAACTGGATGACGCGAATGTGAAGGCACTTCGATCCATGCGCAACAAGATCAAGAGCAGCGAGCCTGCTGACTACCATCTTTTGCCGATTGACGAGGAATTCTTCCAGGCCAATCCCAAGGAGGTGGGTCCTTTTAGTCACGTGCACTTCTTGAAAGAGCAGGTCTCCGATGCCCAGCTCAGCGAGAGGCTCAAGAAGCTGAAGAATTATCTCAACGCAGCTTTGAGAACCGCTTCCAAAGATTGGTCAACGACCCCAGTTCCCTGAAGGTCATCCAGGATGTTTTGCCGGACCTGGTGCGGCCAGATCACTGGAGAGGTGTGGTGACCTGGGCGGTGAACCTCTCAGCCCGTGCGGAGGGCCGAAACTGGCAAGACGTGGCGGTGCATCAGAAGTTTGATCTCATGGTCTATGCCATGCTCACAGGCCGTGCAAGCGATGCTGTGCACTTGGAAATGCAGCAGGCCGACAACTTGGTGGACTTCATGGACAGCGCCGAGAGCCGTGAGGCCTTGAAGGCCATGATGGACGACCGAAGCAACCCCGAGACCTACCAAGTCTCCCGCGTCGCGGAGCGGCTGCGCGAGAATCGTGTGGCCTCCCTTTGTACAGTAACACTTATGTGGGGCTTGGACGGGGCCCCTCACCGATCAGACCTGGACATACACACTGTGGTCGATGGCACTGAGCTCTACTATGCCAACATGCAGGTGGGGAAGTGCACGCTGGACTTTGACGCCAACGCCTCCAGCATAGAGAAGAACCCAGCGGAAAACATCTCCCTGAACCAAGTGGGGACTTTCGAGATCATGGGTCAGGAAGTCGGGCCAAGAGGTGGCAGAGCATGAGGGGACCTGGCCTCGGACGCGCGTCAAGGACAACAAGATGACGGTGTGTCGGGTCACAGTGCTACCGGAGGACCTTGTGGAGAAGCCAGTGGAGCTATCAGAGGCAGAGCAGAAGAAGTTGGCAGCCAAGGAGGCGGAATGGTCCAAACTCTTTGGAGAGCCACGGGCTTTGTTAGCCTCAGAAACAGATGTCGAAATGCGCCTGGTGAGCCATTCGAATGGCTATCCAGCACAGGGCGCACAGCAGCGCTTTCAGGAACTGCTCCAACCAAAGGAGAAGAAGGGAGGCCTGGCGGAGCGGTGTAAGGCTGAAGAGTTGGACGGCTTCATCGAGCGCGTGGCCTCGAAGGGCGCGGCCGGCTGTCGCCTGGAAGTCGACATCCGAAACTTTGCTCCTGCATACATTACGCGCTTGGAAACCGCCACGGATGTTCTGAAGAGCAAGATCGTGGTGAATGTCTTCCAGCGAAAGTTCGAGCTGCCGCAGGCACCCCGGGGTGATGAGCCCAGCAGAGCTCGGCTGGATGCCAGCTGGGGCCTGCAGCCGCGGGCAACTGTGAGAGGCTTTGTGAAGGTCCACACCCAATGGTTCATGGTGCTGGAGAATGCGCGTCTTCCAGCCCATCAGGAGTGGCCCTTAGCGGGTGGCATGTATCCCACCAATCTGAAGCCCGAGGTGCACCATCATCGGAGCAAGTGGGCGAGTTTCCATTCCTTAGTGCAGCCAGAGGCTGTCACTTCAGGGGGCGGGTCTCTCATCGGCTCCATGTTGCTGGGCTTCCCCAAGTTTTACTTTATCTTTGACGGCAAGCAGGTCTCGGTCAATGCGAACACCGTCACGCAGTAAGCAAAGTGCCTTGGACTGTCGACGAGTGAAGGTGTGACGTCGACTGGGTGACGAGAGGCCGAGAATTTCAGTTCGAGTCAAATAATTCTTGCCACTTGCCGGTTACATCTGCTTGCTGTTGAGCGTGTTTCTTTTACGAGAAGAAGCGGTGGACGGGCCGGGTAATAATTCCTGGAGGCCTGGTCCATTTTGCTTATCAATTTTGAAGTCTAAGTATCTTCCGTGCATTTGAACCTATTCACCCGATTCGCCATTCTGTACACTTTTCACACTGGCAGATTGGGGCTGATGCAGAGGAGCATAGACGGAGAAAAGGAGGCTGTTTCGGTTATTTGTTTGAACTAATATAAATTAATTAGCCAATTATTAATTATATAGATACATTTTGGAGGGGGATTATTGTTTCGAGAATTGAAAGGTTGTTAAGGTATTTATAAGGTAATGAAAGGAGAATTTGTCTAAATATATGGTTTGTTATATTATTGGAAGATATTAATATAAGAATATAATTCTTGTTGGTTAGGATAATAAATTTTGGTATTTATATAAAGATTTAATTGATAAATATTTATTTGGATTAAATGAATTATTTTTAAAAATAATTTATATTGAATATATATATAGATATATATTTAATATTGATTTATATTTGGTAATGAATTTAAATGAAATTATGTTTTCGAGACCATACCGATTTTAATTTAGAACAAAAAAACATAAATAAACAAAAAACTAAAAACAGAAATAAATATAAATAAATATTACTAAATAAATAAATACGAACCCATAACAATAAATAGAAAGACAAAAAAACACAAAGAAATAAAAACATAAAGACAATCAAAAACAAACTAATATAACCCGACGAAACAAATAAATACGGACATACGGAAACAGATTAAGCGACATAAAGAGAGGCAAACATATTATGTTTTTTTTGTCACACGCGCGCCTTGGGGCATTAAGCCATCGGTCACGAGAACGACTAAACAATCATCGAGAATGAGACGGGTGAGACCGAGAGGGACAAAGTGCTGGTGAAATGAGCAAAACAAAGAAAAGAAACCGAAGACACAACGCGACAAACCGCCAAACAACACAACGAGGCACCAAACACAAAACCATTCCCCAGCCGAGCAAAACGGAAAGAGACGAGCCAACGCGGCAGTTAAAAGTGATCGTGGAACATAGTTCCAAAAGACACTGACTACACCGAGGAGCTAGGCCTGTGAAGCATGAGCACGTTAAAAAGGAACATGCGCGCTCCAAACCGCAGGGGGCACATTTGCGCATCGTTTACCCCCACACGTGGCCACACGGTCGGAGCAAAGAGCGCATTGTTCCAAAAGTTAGGCAAAGCAACACACGGAAGAAGAAGGCAAAAGGGGCCAAGCAAGGGCCAGCAAAAGGCGAGCATGCAATAATTAATTTGTGCACAGGCATCACCCGGAGCACAAAGGCAAAAAGAGGACGTGCAACGAATTACCCTCACACTAACATCGAGCGGAGTTGATATGGCCAGGCAGATGTGACGGGCGTCACAGGCCTGGCCATCCAGCATTGCACACAAGACAAGGGGTGAGCGTGCAATGCACCATCAAGTTTGCTAGTCGCAGAGCGATAGCAATATTTAAGCGAGATTACCAAGTGGTGTGTTAGGGTTTAGGGTGCGCTGATCTGCATGCCTTACCAGATTGCGGCACGACCAGACTGGCCAAGTGCGGAGGCACAGAACAATGCACCAGGCAACAATGCGTGTGTGCAGTGCCGCTGGCACCAAGGACGACAGGGAGAACCACGAGATTAGGCAGTGCCCAATACACTTGGAAACTCCCGCCTCATGCATCGCAAGGAAATGCCCCAAAGTGACGACAATATTCGTCATGAAAGGTGTCGCCTGGTAACCAAACAAACGAGCGGCCAAGAGGCCAAGCGACAACAGGGGGAGAGCCCAATAACTACTACGCTTATGAATGAAAAGAGGGCACCTCCCTCTGCATCCTGCTGCGAGATAGGTTACCGGAAGAAACGCATGCACACTCTGCCATGCAGAGCGAGCAATATGCAGCGAGATTACCAAGTGGTGTGTTAGGGTTTGGGGTGCGCTTCAATGCATGTCTTACCAGGTTATGGCACTGCAGGTGGGCCAAGTGTAGTAGCACAGAACCATTCACCAACAACAGTGCGAGCGTGCAGTGCCCGCACCAAGAACGGTTGGGAGAACCACGAGATGGGGCAGTGCCCAATACACTTGGAAGCTCCCACCTAAGGCCACAAAGGAATGCACCAAAGTGACGACAAAATTCGTCATGGAAGGTGTCGCCTGGCAACCAAACAAATGAGCGGCCAAAAGGCCAAGCGACAACGGGGGGAGGGCCCAATAACCGCCACGCTCATTAATGAAAAGGGGGGCACCCCCGTCTACATCCTGCTGCGAGAAAGGTTGTCGGAAGAAACGCGTGCACACTCTGTCATGCAGAGCGAGCAATAGGCAGCGGGAGTACTGAGTAGGGTATTAGGATTTAGGGTACACACTTCTATGCATGTCCCACCGGACTGTGGCACCGCAGGGTGGGCCAAGTGTGGAAGTCCCAAACAATTTACCAGGCAATAATGCGAGTGTGCAGTGCCGCTGGCACGAAGAACGACAGGGAGAACCACGAGATTGGGCAATGCCCAATACACTTGGAAGCTCCCGTCATCATGCGTATTGGTGATGCAGGGGAGGATAGCATGGCGACCAAATCCGTGCATCCCATTAATGGAGGCGCAACGTGCTGCGGACTGTGTTGGTGAGCGCATTGAAAGCACTAAGCGATGGCGCGTCCAAGAAGTCGTCCACACTCCTGGACGTCTTAATTCCCTTGCTGCGGAGCTCCTGCAGTGTCATGCCCGAGGCCTGAACTTGAAAGGCATCAACAGACGGAAGTATCATCTCCGCGGTGTCAACATCAAGCACGGGCGGGGTTGCAAGCACGGCAGACCTCCAACGGTGGGAAGATACATGTGCCCTACGCGCAAAGTCCGCAAAGGACTGGCCTGCGGCTGGGAACGGGATCCACATATCCGTCCGGATGACACTCGGTTCGAGGGCCCCCACCAGGCCGCAGTAGTCTTGACAGTCAAAGGGGAGGGCCTGCCGACTTCTAAGCTGTTGCAGAAGAAGGTGGCGGTGGGGCTCCACGTCCTGGAAGATAGGCGGTGTGTAACCGCTTTCAGTCCGCCTGCCATGACAAACCGCATGCCCCTGGAGGCCTGGATCGTACCTTTGAGCGCCACTCCGCCTCCACTGGCCGAGGCAGCGGTATCGGCATCACAAAGATACGCCATAGCTGCGACTGGGATATGAACTTTCAGCCTATGCAGAGGCCAATCGCCTGGGCCGGAACGTCCAAACCATTGTGCTACCTGTTCCCCCGTGGCGAGGGACTCAGTACCTGTCTCCAGCTCCTCAAGGGTGTCATGCATTTGCAGGAGCTGCGCGTGCTGCCTGGTAGCTATGGTGAGAGCCGCGTTCCAGAATTGCGGCTGGGCCAAGCGGTCTAGCATAAGCTGCCGGACACGAGGATGCGCATCCTCTCTGCCTAGCGGCTCGAAGACGGAGGCGAGAGCGGCCAAACACAGGAGCCATGAGCGCAGGAAGCGCAGTTTTTCCTCACTTCCCAAGGTAGGGGCGTCCGAACTCAGCCTGCGGAGGGCAAGCGTGTTGCGCACAGCATGCAGCCCTGCCGGATCAGTGCTGAACAGGACGTCACCCCCCGGATAGCTAGTGGGGAGCAGCGTGAAATGGCTCAAGTCATGCAGGGAGAGGACTTCCTTAGCAGCGGCCATATCGGGGACCAGCGCGAGAGCAGCAACTGCCTCGTCTAGGCTCTCCAGCACTGCCGGATCGAGGTCTTCCTCAATTTCCGCATCGTCCTGCAGGCCGCGCCCTACCGGACCATTTTCCGGCTCCGGAGCAAAGGCGGACACAAAGCCGAGCCGAGCCGCATCCTCGTCCGTGGCGGGTAGGCACTCATGGAATTCCGGCGCAGAGCTGGCGACACTGATGCGATCGGCTTCCTCCAGGAGCGGTTCGGCCTCGATATCGGGCTCAATGCCCTCTGCTTCAGTATCCGTATCAACTTCGATCAACGACACATTCCTGCGGTGCAGGGCATTCAAGGCTTCATTGATCTCATCAGGCGCCAACATCCCTTCGAGCGGGGCGCCGTCGTCAACCTGCATGGCCTCCTGCCCAGCATTCTCGCCCTGGGGTACCCAGTGGGTCCCACCAGGACGAGAGGCCGAGGCGGTGTGGTCTGCACCGTCATCCGACATGCTCGTGGCCTCAGTGGCCGAAGTCTCCCCACCGTGTCCAGCCTCCTGTGAGGCCTCCACGGCAGCAGTAAGGTATTCAAGGGCATCTTGCAGTTCCTCCTTAGTGTGCACAGTCACGCGAGGCACATCGTCGGGCGCGGCCTCCGCGGTGAAAACCTCCATAGGAGTTGCCTGTGCCCGGGAGGAGCCCTGCACGATTGTGTCCGTGACATCCTTACCGGTGAAGGCATCATACACGGCAGAAATGCAGGAGGGGTGGATGCCCTGCACGTCCTGGCCATCAGTGAGGGTGAAGGCAGCCCTGGAGGTGAGCACAGTCTCACCACCCGCAATGTATAGCGCCACCCCTGCATGAAGGCACTTCACAAGGTCGACTGCGATGGCGTATGGCCGATGGCCCCGGGCCTCCACAAAGCCCTGTGTATTAAGCGGGTAGGTGGTCAAGTGGATGTGAGTACGCTTGCCACCCATCAAGGCAGGAAGCAGCCCCATCGCAAGGATGGACTCGGCGCTGACCCAAGTCGTGCAATGGAGTGCTATACTACGCCGGATGGCCTCATCATGCCGCATCAAGGGGAGATGGCGGGGAGGGTCGAGGACGGCTGTGTGGCCCGCGATGGCCCGAATGCACAACCCGCGAGTGGGCGAATGCTTGATTTCGAAGCGTGCCTTGCTGTGTG